TTTTGAGCTAAAATGCAAGCACCTGATCCTGGACCAGGTGAGAATTCCCAAAATTCCAGGAATTCCCAAAAAAATCCCGGAATTCCCAAAAAAATACTGAAAAATTTGGGGTTTCGGGGCCATTTTGGGGCATTTTTAGGGGATATTTTGGGCATATTTTTGAGATTTTTTGGGATATTTTGGGGATATTTGGGTAGAATTTTTGGGAATTTTTCGGGGATATTTTGGGGGTTCTTTGTGAATTTTTGGGGATGTTTTTGGGATATTTTGGGAATATTTGGGGGGATTTTTGGGAATATTTTGGGAATGTTTTAGGGATACTTTAGGTATTTTTGGGAATATTTTGGGAATTTTTTAGGGATATGTTGGGGATTCTTTGTGAATTTTTTGGGGAATTTTTGGGGATTTTTTAGGGCTATTTCGAGGATTCTTTGTGAACTTTTCGGGATATTTTGGGAATTTCTGGGGGGGGGGTTTAAGGAATTTTCGGGCCATTTTGGGTGGGATTTTTTTGGAGGCGGATCCCAAATTTTCTGGAATTTTCTGGAATTTTTCCCGAATTTTCCCCAGGACGGGGCCCTGACCCGGGAGGAGATTTTGGGGCGTTGGGAACTTTTCGTGGGGAGCCGAGCCACCGACTACGGGCAGGACCTGCACCGGGCCCACGACGAGCTCTGAGCCCAAAAAAACCCAAAAACATCCCAAAAAAACCCAGAAACAACCCAGAAACATCCCAAAAATATCCCCAAAAACATCCCCAAAAATATCCCCAAAAATATCCCAAAAATACCCAAAAATATCCCAAAAACATCCCAGAAACAACCCAGAAACATCCCAAAAATATCCCAGAAACATCCCAGAAATATCCAAAAAATATCCCCAAAAACATCCCAAAAGCATCCCCAAAAACATCCCAAAAACATCCCAGAAACAACCCAGAAACATCCCCAAAAACAACCCCAAAAATATCCAAAAAATATCCCCAAAAACATCCCCAAAATATCCAAAAACA